GCTATTCAAACAGTCCTGAATGTTTAGGATTAAATAAATAGCGCTCTAAGGTCAAAAATATTTTCTAGCAAATTCAACGACTATATATGAACTTATACTCTAAAATTCCATGAATGTGCAAGATTTTATGATTGACCTTAGAGCGCTATTCAAACAGTCCTGAATGTTTAGGATTAAATAAATAGCGCTCTAAGGTCAAAAATATTTTCTAGCAAATTCAACGACTATATATGAACTTATACTTTAAAAGTCCATGAATGTGCAAGATTTTATGATTGACCTTAGAGCGCTATTCAAACAGTCCTGAATGTTTAGGATTAAATAAATAGCGCTCTAAGGTCAAAAATATTTTCTAGCAAATTCAACGACTATATATGAACTTATACTTTAAAAGTCCATGAATGTGCAAGATTTTATGATTGACCTTAGAGCGCTATTCAAACAGTCCTGAATGTTTAGGATTAAATAAATAGCGCTCTAAGGTCAAAAATATTTTCTAGCAAATTCAACGACTATATATGAACTTATACTCTAAAAGTCCATGAATGTGCAAGATTTTATGATTGACCTTAGAGCGCTATTCAAACAGTCCTGAATGTTTAGGATTAAATAAATAGCGCTCTAAGGTCAAAAATATTTTCTAGCAAATTCAACGACTATATATGAACTTATACTTTAAAAGTCCATGAATGTGCAAGATTTTATGATTGACCTTAGAGCGCTATTCAAACAGTCCTGAATGTTTAGGATTAAATAAATAGCGCTCTAAGGTCAAAAATATTTTCTAGCAAATTCAACGACTATATATGAACTTATACTCTAAAAGTCCATGAATGTGCAAGATTTTATGATTGACCTTAGAGCGCTATTCAAACAGTCCTGAATGTTTAGGATTAAATAAATAGCGCTCTAAGGTCAAAAATATTTTCTAGCAAATTCAACGACTATATATGAACTTATACTTTAAAAGTCCATGAATGTGCAAGATTTTATGATTGACCTTAGAGCGCTATTCAAACAGTCCTGAATGTTTAGGATTAAATAAATAGCGCTCTAAGGTCAAAAATATTTTCTAGCAAATTCAACGACTATATATGAACTTATACTCTAAAATTCCATGAATGTGCAAGATTTTATGATTGACCTTAGAGCGCTATTCAAACAGTCCTGAATGTTTAGGATTAAATAAATAGCGCTCTAAGGTCAAAAATATTTTCGGTAATCTTACAAGAGGCGCGACCTATACACCACTCTCTCAGAATTAGGTTGGTATCCCGTTTTATGTCGCGCCTGCTGTAGTGGTTTTATGTCGCGCCTACTGTAGTGGTTTTATGTCGCGCCTGCTGTAGTGGTTGATAAAGAAAACCGGTATTTACAGCTCACAATCACCGGGACTGCAGGAAAGAATAAGGGCCTTTGGGATGGGTTCAGAAGGGGAAGACAATCTTAACTGATTGCAAAAGACGTGATCTACCACCAATGTACGGGGAAGGGGGTTGTTTTTATATGTCGCGCTTCTTGTAATGGTTCACTACAACAGGCGCGACATATGCAAGTATTCTCATGGTAGGTCGCGCCTCTTGTAATCGACCACTACAACAGGCGCGACATATACAATTAATAATGTTAAAAAAAAAAACGAAAACAGCGAAATTGTATGCACACCACGAACCAGACCACCCCACAAACCGGCAACTCGGAGGTGGGCAACCCCCCAAGATTAATTTTTGCAGAAGCCGCGAGCGAGGGGTGGAGGCGCAGCGAGGTCGAGGACGTGGGGAAGGCCGTGCGGAGGGCGAGGACAAAAGGGCGGCTGTGTTCGTGGGGGGGGGGGGGGGCTCCGCAGGAGCCCCCCCACGATCCCCGCCCTTTTGTCCCGCCCGGAGCCGGCCTTCACCACGTTCTCGGGCGAGCGCGCCTCCAGCCCGAAGCTCGCAAACCCACAACGGAGTTGCCCTCGAAGGGAGTTGTCTGCAAAGGGTGTTCTGAAAGCAAACGGTGTGGGTGCCCACAACTCCCTTCGTGGGCAACTCCGTTGTGGGTTTGCGAGCTTCGGGCTGGAGGCGCGCTCGCCCGAGAACGTGGTGAAGGCCGGCTCCGGGCGGGACAAAAGGGCGGGGATCGTGGGGGGGCTCCTGCGGAGCCCCCCCCCCCACGAACACAGCCGCCCTTTTGTCCTCGCCCTCCGCACGGCCTTCCCCACGTCCTCGACCTCGCTGCGCCTCCACCCCTCGCTCGCGGCTTCTGCAAAAATTAATCTTGGGGGGTTGCCCACCTCCGAGTTGCCGGTTTGTGGGGTGGTCTGGTTCGTGGTGTGCATACAATTTCGCTGTTTTCGTTTTTTTTTTTAACATTATTAATTGTATATGTCGCGCCTGTTGTAATGGTCGATTACAAGAGGCGCGACCTACCACAGGCGTTGCGTGCATATGTCGCGCCTGTTGTAGTGGTCGATTACAAGAGGCGCGACCTACCATGAGAATACTTGCATATGTCGCGCCTGTTGTAGTGAACCATTACAAGAGGCGCGACATATAAAAACAACCCCCTTCCCCGTACTTTGGTGGTAGGTCACGTCTTTTGCAATCAGTTAAGATTGTCTTCCCCTTCTGAACCCATCCCAAAGGCCCTTATTCTTTCCTGCAGTCCCGGTGATTGTGAGCTATAAATACCGGTTTTCTTTATCAACCACTACAGCAGGCGCGACATAAAACCACTACAGTAGGCGCGACATAAAACCACTTCAGTAGGCGCGACATAAAACCACTACAGCAGGCGCGACATACCAACCTAATTTTTAAATACTGGTGTATAGGTCGCGCCTCTTGTAAGATTACCATATTTTCTAGCAAATTCAACGACTATATATGAACTTATACTTTAAAAGTCCATGAATGTGCAAGATTTTATGATTGACCTTAGAGCGCTATTCAAACAGTCCTGAATGTTTAGGATTAAATAAATAGCGCTCTAAGGTCAAAAATATTTTCTAGCAAATTCAACGACTATATATGAACTTATACTCTAAAAGTCCATGAATGTGCAAGATTTTATGATTGACCTTAGAGCGCTATTCAAACAGTCCTGAATGTTTAGGACTAAATAAATAGCGCTCTAAGGTCAAAAATATTTTCTAGCAAATTCAACGACTATATATGAACTTATACTCTAAATAGTCCATGAATGTGCAAGATTTTATGATTGACTTTAGAGCGCTATTCAAACAGTCCTGAATGTTTAGGATTAAATAAATAGCGCTCTAAGGTCAAAAATATTTTCTAGCAAATTCAACGACTATATATGAACTTATACTTTAAAAGTCCCTGAATGTGCAAGATTTTATGATTGACCTTAGAGCGCTATTCAAACAGTCCTGAATGTTTAGGACTAAATAAATAGCGCTCTAAGGTCAAAAATATTTTCTAGCAAATTCAACGACTATATATGAACTTATACTCTAAATAGTCCATGAATATGCAAGATTTTATGATTGACTTTAGAGCGCTATTCAAACAGTCCTGAATGTTTAGGATTAAATAAATAGCGCTCTAAGGTCAAAAATATTTTCTTGCAAATTCAACAACTATATATGAACTTATGCTCTAAATAGTCCATGATGGGCTGATCTAAATTCTTCTCGTAGTCTCTTTATTTGCAAGATATTGTTAAGCGAGATATAATTTGTATTATTTTCCAAAATAATACCAAAATTTACCTATCAAAATTTTTGCATTTTTAGCCTTATTTCTTTTTCTATTAAAATTTCAACAATTTAAAAAAAAAAATCTTCCTTCATTAGTTTTACACAATGTCGATAAAACTTTTAATTTTTTCATCATGAAAGTTGAAATTTCGAGCTTCATTTTGCATAATTTGAGCTCTTGTGCATTAAATAGCTAGGCGCTGATGACCTATTTTCGCCGTCCTCAAATCCGGATTTTATTCATTAATCAAACGAACAAAGTAGATCTGGCGAGGATGAGATTCAAAGAGTTGTTGTGGTGCGGCGACACGGGACAATTAGCTCGTTTAGCGACACGAGGGGTCGGAGACGAGCACCTGTATCAACACACGTTCGCCGCAGCAGTTTTTGCAACGTGAGCCTCGTTGACGCGTTGGTTTATTTTGTCCACCTAATTGTTGTGGCGCAAAACGTGCGGCCGGCATGCTTTTCGTAACGTACGTGCTCGGATTTTATTTTGAAACACACACACGGGGTAGAGAGTGAATCACTTTGATTTTGTCCAGTAGGCGCGAGTGCCCAGAACAATGGCCGCTAAATGATGTTCCGCTAAGTTTATGTAACCTACAAAAGCAACGCGATTGAAAGCACGATCAGAACTGCTCTGGCCCACCGAGAGATTGAGACAACTTGCTGACGGGAAAATAATTAATCATCAAAACAATGTGCGCTCCATTTTATTGTGTTGAAATATAAAAATAATATTTACCTTGTAAACGACGAAAAAATTATTCTTTATAACTAGTGAAATGATCTCTTTGTTAAAAAAGCGACTTGTTTTATAATCAAAAATTTTTCTTAAGTCGCAAGCCGGTCGCATTTAAAGTCATTTAAAGAACCAAAATTAAAACAAAATCCATTTTTGAGATGTTTTAATTTGAGTTCTTTTGGTATCAACGGATTTTCCTTATTCATCATCCGTAATCTTATTCATTAATTGATTATTCTAGGTTCTTATCTGTTACAATAAAGTTCATTTCTTTGATAGTTCTTGATTTTTAATGAAGAAAAATTAATATTTTATAAATTTTAAAGTACTTTGTTTGTTGGATTCTGTCATGGCAATATTGATTTTGTAAAGCTATTATCTAATGCACAATATTTCTTACTACATTTTTTACTATATAAAAACTACTTTAATTTCTCAACAAAAAAGTTAAAAATATCTAAAACATTTAATAAAATGAAATGTTAATTATGTTTAATTACCGTAGAGGTTTGTACTGATAATAAAAACAGCATTTTCAATTAATTTTACAAGTATTTTCTCATGATTTTTATTTGTGTGCGCATTACAAAATATCGTAGGATTGACCAGCATTGACGATATAAATATACAAGTTTGACATTTTTGTATGTTCTCCGCACTCTCGATCCGCTTTTTTTTAAGTTGAAAATGTGCATTGCGATGTAAAAATGAACTAACCGACTCAGTCTTAGATTTCACCACCATGGAATTTCACAGTCACGTGCCTCAAATCTCTGCTTTTTCCACCTTTCAAATGTTCTCTCTTAAATTTTAAAATGCACATTCACAGGGAGACCCTGCCGAGCCTTCGCTGGACGAGTTTGTTCTTGTGCAGGTCCGAAGGTTGGCACACGACCATGGTGCCGTTGCCGGGCGTCGAACCGGAGCTGCTGGTGTTTGCAGATGTGTTGGTCGCTTTCGCGATGAGGGACGAGAGGATTTTGGTGACGGAAAATTTGCGAATGGTGAAACCACTTTTGTTCTCCGAGGTGCCGAAGTAGGGTTCTTTTTTCAAGGGGCCCGACGGCGAGGTCGGAGTTCGGCACTTCAACATGATTGTTTCGAAAACTTTGATCACTTCGTCGCAGTCCTCGGCCACCGAGAGTTCCGCGAAGTAACAGTTGTGCTCGGCTGCCGACTCGCTGCCGTCACTTTTGGCCACCTGCGAACAATAATTTGAGATGGTCAACTTTAGCCACTTTTGTAAACACGACCCATTTTCGTGGGAAGAAAAGAACAAGCGGTGCAAACATTTTGCTCGGACGAAAATTAAAAGGGACCGTTAGCCTCCAGAATGGTCTGCTATTTGTGTAAACTGGTTCAGCAGACTAATTAGACAGGCCGGCTGATTTACTGCCTCATGAATTGTACACGACGGTGACAGTGAGTTAAGAAGCCTCACTTTCGCGCACTAACTTGTTTGCAACTAAATTATTCGTCGCCTCGGATTCCGAGCAACAGGTGCCAAGGCGGAATAATTCATGGTCGAGATCTGAGATGACAAGTACGATTTAATGCGACCATAAGATAAAGCAGAATGGAAGTTAATCTGATGATTTATATTGTAACTGAGTAGCAAAAATAAATTCGTCCTCTTCTCGTTGATATAAAAGGTTGAAAGTTTAAAAAGAGAAGATATTTGTGGAATTAATTTTTAATTCAAGAGACTGAAAGGACTCCTTCTTGGCGTAGTCAAATCAATTCTTTCAACAATATGAGCAATTTTTGGCAATAAGTTGAAAACAATTGGAAATTTTAACCACAAAGTTCTGTAATAATTTGCGGCTCAAATATATATGAAATTTGAAACTAAAAAAAAATGATAAAATGATCGTAATATTTTAATGATTTCGGTGCTTTCGTGCTCGCTTTTTATAGACATAGACTCGTCGTGTTATAAATTTTTATTGAAAAAATAAACACTTTAAAACGCAAATTAAAATCAATATTTAATAATGAAAAAATTAAAAAAAAACACGGGAATACAACTTGCGGGAAACTAACTTTTTGTTATTTCTGCTTTCAGAATTATTTAACACCAGTTTAACACCTGCCCTTGCTCCTATTGTTAAAAAAAGCATTAACTTAAAATTTCATTCATTTACCGATTTACTTTTATTAACGCTAGCGAGAATTGAAGTAAAAGCAGTACTTTTGCAGTACATCTAAAAATTTTCCAGGCCCAAATTTTCAAAATTAAAGCATTGAAAAAAAATTAAATGAAAATCACGTTCAGCACTTTCATCTCATGATTTAAAGAAACTATGAAATGTTGTTTTTGAAACTAACTAAATTTAGCAATTTGAACATAAAAACGCAAATAAATATTTTCCTAATTGAGCAATAAAGTTTTACTCACCACTCTGAAATGCTCGAGATCTGCTTTGTTGCCAATGAGGGCGAAGATGGGTCGCTCCTCGTCTTTGCTGCGCGACTTCCGCTCTTGACTCAGCCTTTCCAGCAGGCGCCTGGCCGTTTCGAAACTGTCTCTGTCGTTGACTGCGTACACCAGAATGCAAACGTCGGCCCACTGCACCAGTTCGGCGGGAAATTCGCAATCCCTCTGCGGGTCAAAAGAGAGAAAAGTGACATTATTAATCCGCGCCTTGTTCGAGCAGGGGACATTGATGGATGGCGCGCGCGGTCCAATTAATGAGCGCGACCCATATATTTGCAGCTCCCGAACGAATTCGCCAAATAAAATATATAAAATGGTCCATGGTCGCGTGCAGAAAAGGGGCGAATGCGAAAAGCCGGCATTTGGCTATTTCGAGAGACACGCACAAGTTGTTAATTGAATCGTGCGCCGGTCCGCCCAGCCCTGACACCGAAAACACTTTTTTTGATTGATTGGCAGACGCGAGGAAAGCAGGATCAAACGCCAAGAAAGAGCCACCCCGGCGAAAAAGCAGGTGAGGTCGAAAGACGACCCAAGGACCGAGCGCGTCTGCTCTCGCTCGCTCGGCTAATTGGCAAACATTCTCAAAGTAACGTTGCTTGTTAGAACAATTATTTGCGAGAGCATCTCCACTTAATGGAAGGACGAGCGTTCAATCAAAACGCGAATTTGGGTCAATGAGAATGCAGTTAGTCAAGACCGATTGGGCCAAATTTCGCACACATGAGCCAATTTGCTCGACTAAACGGGAAATTAAAAAGACAAGGACGAGGATTTTTTATGCTTGGTGTTGAAACTTAAATTTATTATCTTGAAGTTCTTGAACTGTTCAAATTGTTAAAAATTTATTCAATATCAAGCAGAAAATGCTTAAATTTTTTTGAGCTGTTAGTTTTATATTCCATCAAGAATTCAATAAAAATATTGAATGTGTTTCTCAAATATTATATAACAAATTTTATGAAATTGTATCAATTGAATTATAATTATTCCAACGTCGTCTTCAGAGAAGGAGAAGTGAAAATCAACTTCGCATGTGAAAACACATTCACAACTGTAGGTTGACAAAATTAGAAACAAAAATAGAATGTTTTTTTACACAAATTTTTATAAAATGAAATTAAACAAAATGAATAAAAAAATCTGAATTCTGCTTATAAAAGTAAAAAATAAATAAAACTAAATAATTTATTATTATAGGTTTTCTAGTTGTTCAACAATAAAATATGATAAAAAATATTAAATTACTATATTATTAAAAAAAAGTAAGTTAAAAATTATTTTATTATCTTTTCAATGACGTTATAATTAAATTTTTTGAATTTTTATAAGCTTCTTATTTCACTTCTTATTAATTCATGATTATAGACTTTGCATTTAGAACAATTAAAAACAACTTTTTTCACAAAGGAAAAGAACTGATTCACTATGTATCAATATTCGCCCCGTGACTTCCAATTTCTTAAAAAATTAAAGCCTTTTTCTAAAATTTCATTTTAAAGATTTATCAATAAATTGAACATTCCAGAATTAGAGGATTATTGAAAGTTGCAGAAATTTTAACTAAACTTTAGCCATGGAGCTTGTTTACTCTCACCGCAGAAGTGAAATCAGAAGTCGTTATGCAACTGGGTCGACTGGTGTGTCGAGCCGGTTGCAGCAATACAAAACATCTTGCAAAAGCAGCGCGACATAATCCGCCGAGAACGCAAACAAAGCTTCTTTCTCTCACACAAAACCGCCTTCTCTCGGTTTATTTCGAGGATATATAATCCAATCAACGAGACACATCAGACGCTTCGGTTATCATAATCGAAATCTGGGTCACATACAACATCAAACGAAGCACCCTGAAGGTTTCATTCTTGCAATCTTAAATCTGGCCTTTAATTCTAAGAGCGAGTCGGAGCACCCGGTGTGCGAGGAAGGTGAATGTTTTTTTCGCGGTTTTTGTTTATTTTGGAACGGACGGAGAAATTATGGTCTGGCAAAATAAAATTGGGGGCAAAAACCTCTCGAAATAGCGAACGCTCCTCTTCGGACGGTGTAAAAATAGATCCACGTAAGAAGTGACTTAGTTCTTTTCGATTTTTACGAGGGTTGCGTAGGACTTGTGATTTTGGGTTAACATAATATAATAAATTCCTAGAGGTAATTGTTGGAAAGGTACAATAATTTCACTCACCGTTTCGCCAGAAACGTCGACGATCTCGACGTCCAGCTGGCTATTTTGAACGTTGACTGTCTGCCGGTAAAGCAGGTCTGAAACACAAAAACAGAAACGAAGGTAATGAGGCAAGTCGTAAAAAGCTGCGGAATAAATTTTACTTCATCTGTGGCCTAGTGAGAAGGAAAGGTGATTGCACCGAAAGGAAGCATATATATATTTTTAAACAGGGGCAATTTAGAGGTTTTATATTTTCCATTTGAGCAACACCAGCAGTGCAGCTGGACGCGCAAAACAAATATAAAGAGATGTGCCAACAAAACCCTCTCGATTTGAAAAAGCGCTTGTTTGAAAGTTTGAGCGCGCGCGCGCTTACAAAGGCTTCCTTCTTTACCTTGACTGGGCTCGAGAACGTTTATTTGTTTGCGTGCCCCCGCGCCGGAATCCGGAGAATTCCATTCAATCGTGCGCCGCTCAATCTGGAAGCGGTTAAAAATCACGGCCAGTGCCCATGCTATTTTTGAAAGAGTTTTTGCAAGGCGGACACGAGCGCACCACGCAAATCTTCAACGAGCAAGTCAGAAAGCTGCACCACCTGCGACTGAAAATAGCGTCGGCCAGAAATTGCACGGCTGCCAGAAAAAGAGCTTAACGTTTCGAATTTTGACTTTGTCAATCAGCTCTCGGACAAATGTTAACTCAAAAATAAATATGAATGAACTGAAAGCAACTTTATTTCGCTTTTCTAAGCATATTTACTGAAAACTTGTAGTAAAAAAAAAAATATTTTCATGTAAATATTTGTAAGCAAGAGAAATAAAACTGTACATTTACTCAACCTTTTTTTTAAATTTGTATCAATAACCTTAATAAGAATTAGTTCATCAAGCTAAAATACTTCAATATTTTCATTTTCCTCTAACATAATTAGTTTTAATAAAAATTCAATCATAGAAATAATTAAAAAAAAAAAATGAATAGAAATTACTGAAATTAGAAATAATGTTTACTTATAATTAACTCTTCCTGTGATAATTTCCTTTTTAATTTGAAACAAAACTTCATTCTGAAAATCATGGATAATTTTCACTAATTTCAATCTTTGCTGTCCCTTTTATAATCATTAAAGTTCATAATCTGAACCATTCTTTATATTGAAATAAAACCGGTGAAAATATTTACCCCCTATTCTCAAAAATTTGCCTAACATTCAAATGGTAAACTACAATTTTTATAATTTTTCGATTTTAAGAAAAATATATTGCGCCGAAGAAGACCAAAACAATTAATTTCACGCTGTATTTATAGCCTTGTTTATGAAATCTTAGCCAAAATTGCGCAGCATTCTGGAGTGGAAATAGCTTGACGGAAACGATATAATTCTCCAGCGCATGTGGCGACGAGCCCTCCTGCTGTTTTGAAATATTTGCATATGTATATTTCACGGCGGTGCCGAATTTCAGAGAGACTTGTTTACGGCCTGCTTGGCGGCGGCCTGACCGCTCTCTTTGCGCTCTTTGGCATCGCCGGTCGCGACGAAAACACTCAATTTCTCTCAACTTTTGGCGGCGCAACTCCACTGGCGCCTGAACGAGTTGTTCGGTGGCGTCCGCTGAAGAGGAGCGCACAGATTTATGGCCAACGGGTTACAAGTGGCCGGATGAGCAACACACCAACACTCGAATCGTTGTCGGTCGCAGATCAGTGAGATCCTCGTGTTTGAACAGCTACGCCATATTTGGATATGCAAACAAAATTTTAATTCAATTTTGTTTATTTAAAATTTTAATTGATTTTAACTAAATATATTATAATTAAAATAAGAAATTTTAATACATACTTAAGCTTTTTAATTTGTTTTATCATTAATTTTAATAAATATATATTTATTTTAAATTATTTCATAAATTATAATTATATGTTTTTAAAATTTTAAAAATGCATTGTTTTACATTAATAATTTGTTTAATTAACATTTTGATATTTACTTATATTAAATTTTTTCTACTCGATTCTCTGTTGAAATCATAGTTGTAAAACCTCTGTAGGGTATTATTGGGCATTATGCTTGTGAATTGTATGTTAACAATGTGATGTAGCAATTTAGACAAATAAACAACAATAAAGAATTAAATTCAATTCAATTCAATTCAACCCTAATGTCACATAACCATTTACAATAAAATCAATAAAAATGTTTGACTGAAATTGAATAATTACTATTGAAACTGTAATTAATTCAGAATGTAATTAGAATAAAATTTGAAAGAGTTAATTCCAGCATGAATCACTGCATTCTATGGATGTATGAACTTTTGGCATGCTATGTGTGACAAGAGAAATATGGTGCCAACTAAGATCGCGCTCTATTACGGCAGATAAAATTTCGCACGGCAGGAGATAAATTTTCTCGCGCCACGCGGCGAGTTCGCTCTCAGAGCTGGACCGTTTGGCGTGATAATGAGGATCCGTCCACCCAGCGTTGATTGATTCTCGAATTGGGGACGCGCGAAATTGAGCTCGGATTAAAATAGAATACATTTGAAACGTCTTCCCTATGAATGCAGGCAGAAGCGTCAATACCAAAAATATTTAGGCTAGAGATGAAAATTTTTATTTTGCGACTTCCACACTTTGATGATATAATTTCTATTGCTACGACAATTTTTGCATTATAATTTTTACCAGTAAAGCAGTTTGTGTGTTCATTGCATTTTAACAATAATGTTTTTAATTAAATGAACTTTTTAAAGCAGCTACAATTACAGGAGAGGCAGATTCGAAATGGCCTGAGAGGTTCCGATTCTTACTTATTGTTATTGGTCACGATTTAAAAAAAAAAAATAATAATTATAATTTGTCAACATTATTTATTGTATTAAAAACTGAAATACAATTATTAAATCCAATTCCTAAATAATGACGAGTGACACGGATAATACTCCAAGAGAGATTATTGAATTTCAACTTTTTAATGAAGGATGAATGTAAGTTTACATTTATATTATTTATTATTTGTTTATTTATTTATTTGTATTTATTATAATGTCATTAATTTTTTGAGCTATGAAACACCAAACGTTTTATTTAAACAATAATTAAAACAAAAGAATTAGATCAAATTATAATGAAATTAACTGCAAAAATGTGTGTTACAATTTGTAATTATTTAATAAATAAAAATAATATTAAACCAAAATAAATAAAATATAAATTACGTTAAAATTTATTATTTACGCATATAGTACAATATTGACTCCTAACTATCAATATCCGCCATCTATTGATATTATTCAATAAAAAAGTGCAACAAGTTTAAAAAAAAAACTGCTGCATTGAATGATGAAAATCTTCTATTGGTCACTGGTCACTGGCCACGCAAATTGAGAGATATTCGCAGGGCTCACGAAACCAAACTCGCAAAACAAATGGTGATTTTATGGGACTTCAACTAATTTATTGTCATATATACGATATCAAAAATTAAGGTAAAAGGGAATAGACACAAATTTTTGACAAATATTATTACTAACGTAACTAAAACTAAATAAAAGTGCAGAAAAAAATTAAATTATCTGAAAGTTATTTCAAACTCTATTTTATCTTTTTGGTATTATTTCTATTGGATTACCAAAAAGAAATTTAATAATTTTAATTGGTTTTTTAAAATTCACAAAAGAGGGACATTTTAATAAAAAAAAAAGTGGAATTATATAATTTTAAAGCGAAATAATTATGTAAAATGAAGCATTGAGGCATAATTTAATTATTAATGTCATTCAAAATCTGTTTATCTTTGCTGGTATCAAGGCAGTCGCCAATTCAAAAATAATGTTCAATGCCAAGCTTGAAGGAGATTAAAAATCCGCGAACGCGATTGTTTACACTCGCGTGTTTTGGATCTCGTCGTAAACGCGTCAAAGTTGAAAAATCGGCTGACAAGTGCGAGCGAAAATGTTTTACAAACTCTGGAAGGTCAAGCTCGTCAAGCAGGGATCTGGAAGTAAAAAAGGAGCCGTGACCTTTTCCTTCTTTTTTTCGCGCTCTTTAATTAATGCGCAAGCAATGAATTCGCATCTGGCGGTCGCGGCGCCAGCTTGAGGCAAGGCTGTCGCCTGAATGGGTGTAAGTGTCGTCTAGGAATGGAGCCAAGAGTAAACAGCCAGAGGGAATCTCTCGAGGCCCGCGCGCGGCCACTGGCATTTGTCGCCGATCAAATTTTACTGCTCCGCGCCCGAAAGTTATTCTCGCGAGATTTGCTCACCGCACATATATTTCGGACGAGACACCACTTATTTATTGGCAAATGCTGGACACTGCGGTGCGGATTGAGTTGCACTAAAATTTATTCGCCGCACATAATAAAATTTAAATGCGCACGTGGAGTTGAGACTTGGTATGAACGGAATGCAATGCCGGCTGAGTCACACAACCGAATTTTTTTTCTTATAAGAGAAATTTTGAGTTCGTAATTAACTGGCAGGGCCAATTTATCTAATGAACTTTGCACCAAGATTTTTTTATGCGGAATTAAATATGAAAAATAAGTACTATAGAGATTAAAATTGGAGTAAAAAGTGAATTATTTTCTGTTAGCAAATAAAAATCGTTTTCGATGCTTTTTAGTTATTCCCAGGGGATAGTAAACTATAGTCAATTTATACAATATGCAAATTTTTATAAAATATTAAAACACAATTATGTGATCCTCTGATAAGTATTATGGCCACACGTGACACATGTCACGATGTCACTATAGAACCATTGAATTTATTCAGCATTGTTCCTGCCGTTTTGCAGATACAGAGAAACTTGTTTATGAAGTGTTTTGTTGTAATTACATAATATTATGACTTGTTTTTATTTATCATGACCATATTGACCATGAGTTTCAATAATTTTATTTTATATTTAAATACAATACTCAAGATTGATTGCATTGAAAAATTGAAACCAATAAGAACAAGGGAAATTAAAGAAGGAAAAAATAGTAATAAATAAAATAAATTTACACTTTAGAACTGACACAAGTAGGATTTTTAATGGGAGTAAAAATAAAATTGTGGAATATAGAGCACCTAATTGCAAAAAATATTTAGTAAAAAAACACAATTTGCAACTAAACAAATGAGTTATTTCAAATATGTCCATGAGAGGCAGATGTGGTCTTTTTAATCTCGGAAATAAATTTTAGCAAAATTTATGCTTGTGGTAGTGCCATTTTTTCCTCACCACTCTCTTTTATACAATAAAAAAAAATCTTAAATCTTGCAACTAAAATAATATAATTTGACGAATTTTCCATTTTGAAAGTTCCATTTATAATCTCAAATTTCTCTCAAAAAGTAGAGCAAAAGCCTCGTTAATTTGTTGGGGAATATATCTGGGGCGTTGAACCGCAGCTACTTTTTAGCACCGCACGGGTGTTTCAAGCGCCGCTTAATTCCCATTTATATTCCCTCCTAAAACAGTAACTGTCCGACTCCGCCGGCCAGGAACACAGATTCTCACTTTCTGACGCACGCTTGCAAAATTGCTGAGCTTAAAAAAAAATGTATGCATCGACGTCATTGGTACAGATTTTTTTTTCTGGCGCAAGTTGCTCGATTTTTGTCTGTTTTGTGTGTTTGTCAGTGGCTTTCTTTCAACCGGTGGCATTACTGTCATGGATGGAATGGCCTACCGACGGACAAAGTGCGGAAAAAACGGGGTTGCGATTGAGCGAGAGAGAAGGAGTGAATGGGCTGTCGAGCAAGGGGTAACGAGAGATCTCGAAAATACATCGGACGCTTCAAGGTGACTCACCTGAGTTGGAATGGTACTCGCCGATGAAGCGCCGCGTCAAGTAACGAACCGTCAGCGCTGGGGAAAAAAATGGAAAAAAAAACTTCAAATAAAATTGTGGGGAGAAAAATTTAGATATTTTATTAAAAAATAAAAAAAAACAATAACTTAAGCAGATTATAATTTTTTTTGTATTATGACAGTTTTTATAATTGTAATAAGATCGATTGCTAAAAGCCAAGCACCCAAATTTAATACATATATAATATGCAGTTTTTAAATAATTGCATAATCTGAATAATGCAATTTTTAATTGATCCATTGAATCCATTCAGAGTGTGAAAATATGTCATTATTATATTTAACGCTAGAATTGATATTAAACTTCATCTATTTGAAAGGGAAAATTATGTGATTTATTTAAATTTGTTTTAGATTTGTTATTAATGAATCATTGAGGATTAAGATTTTTGTATTGACCGCACAAATACTCTGGATTTTTATTTTATTTAAATCTCAAATTTTCTTTACAATTTTTGAAATAAATATTGTTCTAAATTCATTAAAAAAAGTATCTATTTCACCAGTCCAAATAAAATTTTAATTCAAATTGATTTACTTATTTCAATTTAATTTAAAATTATATATTTGTTCAAAACTTGCAATAATTTGTTCTAAAACTGCATTATAATAAAATTATGCAATTCTTAAAGCTGCTTTAAATTTCAACGATTGATAAATTTAAATAATTTTGTTAAATTCACCTGATTTTCCAACGTTGGAATGCCCGAGGACGGCTATCCTGAAATTCCGCTGTTTACTGCCTTTGCTTTCGTTCTTCATCTTTCGCTGCTCGCCTCAGCGTCTTCGCCGGTAATATTTTTAGTGGAGCACAAACTTCGCAGCCAAAAATCGTCTATACGCGCAGAGGTGCCGCTTCCAAATGCGAATTGCTCAGCCGCTCTTCTCTTTTAACGCGGTCTGGCCGCGACGCGAGTCTGCGCGCTCATTCACACCCGCCGCAATATCAAAACAACACACACAGACATTCCTGGCGCGTCGGCGGTTATTCGCCGCATTAATTCACCCCGACCGTAAGTTACATCACACTCGACATTCCGACACCCTCGACTTGGACCCGAGAAAAGAAGAATAAAAAGCGCCGAGGTGGCGCCTGCACTTTCGCAGGCATGCAACACGCGTGACCGGCGTGCGCCACATGTTGCCTACTTCATTTGGCGGATGATTGGAGTAAATTATTTAGAAAAAATCCAATTTTTCTTTTACATTCATTTCTTTTTAGTCGAATTCTCTTGGTAATTCATGGTCTCAAAAAATTAATTACTGAAACTGGAAATATTAAAATAAAAATCTTTTTCATTTATAATTATTATTATGCAAAAATGTTTGTAAAAAGTATTTATTATTTTTGTGTTTATTTCTCATTTTACCTCATAAAAACAGTAAAATTATTTTGCTAGCAAAAATTCTCTCCGAGCCACAAAACTCCTGCAAAGATCTTTTCCTGTTTCATCGCCTAGAACAAACACAACCTTCTTCACGCTCATTTATTTGGTCAGAGTCCAACAAACTAATTAACGCACGTTTTAAATATTTCATTACTAGCACGTTTATGCCGCGCATACCGTGACATGCAAGGTCGCGGCGGTGAGCACGCGGCGGCAAAGGGATTTCGATTTACTCTCGCGGGCATGTGGAACTACTCATTTCGCTCTCTTTGAACAAAATGCACTGACCTCTAAATGTGTTAAAATATATTCCAGGAAAACTAAGTTTGAAGAGTTTATTGACTCTTCCACAAGTCAGCGAAAGTAATTATATAAAATTCATCAAAGAAGGCAGAAATAAAATATCAAACGCTCTTTGAAACCAGCACTGCAATAAGAACTGCCACGGCCAAAAGTAATGAACCTAAATTTTATAAAATTTAAAACGTGCAGACTTGTTATACTATAATTGGTTTTCATAAAATGAAACTAAAATTAAAAAAAAAAAACATTTATTGGTTATTAAAAGAAATAATAATAATTTTGGCTAAAAAAAGTCTGGGGAAAAATTGCTTCTGGGTACACAGCAAATATAGGCAAAATATTTAAAAATGCGATAAAAGATTGACTGATTGTGGAACCGATCAACACAATTATTCACGTGGAAATACTGGAAATACAATTGATGTCATTCGATCCGCTCATGTCAAAAATAATATAAGTGAAAAACACAGTTGCAAAATAAAGTAAAAATAAGCGATTGCTTTAAGAAAGTTAATTTAATTAATTAAGATAAGTAAATAAACAACTAGCGGTTATTTGATGGTTAAACTTAATGATCGTATTTTCCAGATTTATAAAATTTTCAGTGCGTAAAACATTCTTGATAATCTTCCTTTCCGAATCCATTTATGGTGCGGTGGTTGAAACTTGGAATGCAGCGAAGCAACTCGCGTGCAAACAAGCGTGTATGTCTAAGCGATACATAATTATTTCCAGCAGCAACGCGCTTAATTTTATGTCAAGTGCACGCAGGCAAGAGCTTTGTCGAAAAGTAAGCGCCGGAGCGAGTGCGACGGTCTCAACCTGCAGCTATTAATAAAAATGAGAGCAATTACTCGCTAGAATATGAAGAAGTTGCCTAATTACTCTCACTTTTCACGCAGCAAAAGTTGTCAAGAAGAGTTTGTATTTATTTACCTGAAAGAAAAACGGCGCGAGATGAGAGCAAAAGTAGTGCTTTTGCTTATAGCACGTGCGTGATCTTGACTCGTTTTGATAGAGAATGAGAAATTGTGTTAATTAATACAAGAGAGGGAATTTCTTTGCGTTTTGCGCAACCCAAACGCGCTACTGCTCTACATTCACAGGACAATACAAGTTTATGCATATTTCTGGATTTGTCTCGCGCTCACTCTTATTACTTTTGTGGCCGGGTGACATTTTTAGGGCAAGCTCAGCAAAAATTTGAAGAGACGGCAAATATTATCTTCTTTTTTTTAATTATTAATACAAAAAGCTATTTGTTAATTTACTCGGCCTACTCATGATATTTGAGGTTATAAATTAATAAAAATATTAAAATTAATTGGAAAAATACAATTTAAGAACAAGTACAATATTTTTTTTATGATTTTAAACAAAAATAAATTTATTACAATATACTTTATTTAATGTACAGCAAGTAGGAAATTTACAAAAATAGAAACGAACAACCCTATTTTGGCGCAGGTGGTGTGGCCCACGTGTTGAGCCAGCTTTCGATCTCTCCGTAGTAAAGGGAGACCCACTGAATATTAGACTCGACCCTTTCCAAAGCTTGCTCCCGGGCGGACGCTCCAGCTCCAGCGTTGGGGTATTTGGCAAAGAAAGCCTTCATCTAAAAATAGTAAGCAAAAAATCTCAGTTTCAATGTAAAAGTAATTATTTTACACAAACCTCATCGAGTCGATCTTGGGTGTCAAAGTTTTGAGTGATGCGAGGAATCATACGTCCCAATGACCGACTGTTCAGAGTGAAACGTTCAACCAACTTATCCCAGTTGTCTCTGTTGAAAAAAGAAACAAAAACGTTTTTGTTACACATTTTAAACAATATCTAACTTTTTTTAATTCATTTTTTTCCAAATAAAACTAAACCAATTTGAAATTTTATACCTGACATAGTCCCACACTAATGAAGAGCCTAACGGGTTGTCAGACATGGTCTGCAAGACCGTGAAGTAGTCCTGACTGCGGACCAGTGAATCGTCTTCAGCGTAGAAGAGGTACTTTCTCAGGGTGGTCACGTCTTTCACGTAGGTCAGCGAAATCAAAAGCCTCAGTTTTTCTTGAGGATCGGCTGCTGCCACGTACCTGTCCCACACTTTGTCCCAGTTACCGTTGGGGTTGCCCTCCCTCTCCATTCCAAAGTTGTACACCAGGGCACGCACATTTATCGAAGGCACTTTAGTTTCGTCTGCAATCCAATCGTTGAAAGGAGTTGTGGTTTCGTCTAAACAGGTTTGGTAGCCACAGGAACATGCCAGATTGAGAATTGTGGATCGAAGACGCCTTAAAAGGACCATTTTGGGTTAAAATAATTTATAATATTATGTTGATTTTTACTTGGTGATGTGGGGATCATCTGCTCCTTCGGTCCATTTGAGGGCATCATATTGATTTTTCACTAGTTTCTCAACAAATGCCTAAGGATTTCAAATTCACATAAATTTAAATAAATTCTTTATATTATCTTCATTACCATAAAAGTGGGGTAAGCTGGGCGGCTCCTCATGAAAGGCAGCAGTTTCAAGAACTTGCTGGCCGAAGTTGACCAAGAGATGTAACCAGTCTCATTTTCAAGATACTCGGACAAGTCCAGGGCCTGTTTGTAGGTCACATAAGATCCGTCGGCCAAACTGAAGACATCGTCAATCAGGGATGATCGGTCAGTGTCCTCAGCAATTTCCGAGGCCTTTCAAAAAAATTTATTATAATAATCAAGCATAAAATTTTCCTTTTTAAAAATAAAAAAATTAAATTGTGAATTTGATATATTAATCTAGGCTTACCTTCAATGCTTCAATAAGTTTACCCCACATCTTTTCGTCATAGTTCACTCTGTAGAATCCAATTTGTTTATAGTTAAACTTGAACCAAGTGGTTTTTGCTGCATCAAATTGAATTTGAACTGAAAATATATCAGATTAATACACACTCACAAAAGGAATTTCAAAGTATAAGCTCACTAGTGAATGGCTCCATTTTGAACCACTCTGTTTTCACTCCAGCAATTGAACCTTCAATGTACGACAGAGGCACATCCCATCGGTACCTTGTGAGTCAAAAATATAAATTAATTAAAAGATTTAACCAAAAATAACTACTTTTAGCCAAATTTTCTCAAAAAACCAGCTTTTCCTGTCTTTAGTACTGTGAAGACAAAATTAAAACCTCACCCGTATGGAGAGCTCTTGGGAACTTCGAGAGACTTCTTTTCAGCACCGGGCGAGCCAAAGAATCGTTTCTGCATTAGAGTGGCAATACCAGTGGTCTCGTTGTATTTAATCTCAACAACAGGCAGGCCCATTTGCAGGGTCCAGGTATTCATGACCCTGGTCACATCCACACTCTGTTGCGCCTCCAGGGCCGCCTCGGTCATACTTTGCCAGAGATCGGTGGTCACAGCGTTGTCGTAAATGAACCTGTTCAAATATTTGGTGACTCCTTTTTGGAAAACGTCTTCTCCCAGAATTCCCTCCAGCATTCGAATGACAGAGCAACCCTAAGTTATAATATTTTAATAATTTGCCTGTTCAAATAACTTGCAAAAAACAATTTTCTAATTTAGTTATTTTGAAAATACCTTGCTGTAGGTAATTGTGTCAAAAAGGGCATTGATTTGGTCAGGGTGAGACACTTGCTGGATGATGGGGTGGGAACTGAGCTGAGCGTCCAGCGCCATCACTGGCTGCAAATCCATGACCAGAAATTGCTCCAGCTGGAATTTGGTAGAATTTGGTACATTTTCTGTTTCGAGAATGATAAAATTAACGTACCAACTTCCAATCTTCATCTTTTTTGTAAAAGTCAAGGCTTTTGTACTCCATGAAAGAAGCGAATCCTTCGTTGAGCCACAGATCGTCCCACCATTTCATAGTTACTGCAAATAAATGGACAAAAAAATTATTATTAGCACAACAAAATTAAAATGAATTATTTAAAATTAAAAACTAAAAAATATACAGTTAAGTATTCCAGCTCAATATTATGGGTTTAGGTAGAAGATAAAAATAAAAGCAATGTATGGGTAAAATAATATAAAATAAATTAAAAGACGCAAATTTTGCTATTTTCCGCAATTAGATCCTCCACCCATCCCTCAGCTGCATTAACTATTCACTAGTAAATTGCAAAATTATAAATAATTTTATTAAAAAATAAGTATCTCTTAAAATTTTTTATAGGGAATGCAAATAATTATACTTTTTGCATAATTCACAATGAAAGTTTGAATTCAGCAAACATTTAAGTCAATCAAAAATATAATTATTACCTAGATTTCCGAACCACATGTGAGCAATTTCATGAGCAACCACAGATCCGACCTGCTGGATGTTGGACACGGCGTCCGTGGCTTCGTCGACCAGCAAGTTGGTCTCCCTGAAGGTGATAAGGCCCCAGTTCTCCATGGCTCCGGACACAAAGTCAGGAATTCCAATCAAATCTAAAATTTTAATGTGGTAAAAAAGAGTGAAATTAAAAATTGAGGCACGAACCTAATTTCGGCAGAGGGTATCCGATTTGGAAATAATCTATGTAGTACTCGGTGATGGCTTTTGCAGCGTCCCTGGCAAAAATCAATTTGCTCTTCAAATCGGACCGGCCGTACACGCTGACGGGAAAGGTGCTCGTGTCCAAGTTAACCACATTCTCAGTCTCAAAATCAAACTCGCTGACAATGAAGCAGGCCAGGTAGGTGGACATTTTGACCGACGAGCTGAAAAATACTGTCTTCTCGTTGTCTCCTGGACCATCTTCCACTTTATTTTCATCCATGTTGGAAAGAGCTTTCCAAGTTGCATCCTTCGGTTTCACAAGAGAGATTGTGAAATGGGCCTTTTTGTCCGGCTCGTCCAGGCAGGGAAAGGCTCGGCGGGCGTAAGTCGGCTCAAATTTAGACGAAACGATTTTCCTGAAAATTGGAAACAAAAAGTTAGTTAAATAATATAACAAGAATTAAATTAAAAAATAATCAATTCAGTAATTTATTGTTTTTTTTTTTCAAATTCTTTTCAGGCACCTAAAATTGCCCTGTTCATCCTTGTACTGCGAAGTGTAAAATCCGACGATGTCCGAATGCTGCAAACTTCCCGAAAAGTCCAGGTAGACCCTGACCTCTCCGGGTTGGAAGTTTTCCTGCTCAGGTAGAAGGACGAAGAACTCGTTCTTGGGCGCCGGAAACGCGTCCTTCAGGGCAATCTTCGCGCCTCCAGGCGCCTCGACCTTTGCATTCCTGACGGTCAGACCGACCTGATGCACAGCCAGGTAGTCTTGGGCCTCGCCCAGGTTCAGGTCCATCCGCACCCGGCCCTCGAAGGTGCCATTCTCGATGTCAGGGTGCAGGAAGAGGTCGTAGTGGCGCACGGAGAGGCTCTTCGGCAGCCGGAATTCGGTGTCCCAGGGCGCAGACATGCTGCAGAATCGCTTCTTCGGGCGCGTCCTTCGGATGGCTGCAGACGTGGCCGACCAAATCGGACGCAGAAGTATTTTAATTGATATTTTTTGAGTGGTTTCGAACTTTTAAGAGAGATAAGACCGGTGATTGTGCGTTCCTCAGAGACTGCCCAGCTGACGAGAGTTTGTTTCTGTTGGTAGACCTGCCGTAAGTGCCCAAATATCGACAGTTTGTAGATTACCTACGGCAGTTCTACTAATATTGGTGCTCATGCCATGCAGTACAATATAATTCAAGGTATAATAAAAATTTAATTGTCTGTTATTAACTGTTTAAATTTTTCAATGAGATAAATATACAAAACCAAACCAAATTAATGAAGGATTCAAAGATTTTAGAATAGATATTAAAATTGTAATTCCCAATACCCTTTACTTGTAATTTTATATTATTTTTTTTTTGTAAATAGAACTGCTTATTGTTTAAATTAAAACTTTAAACTTTAACCTCCAAAAATTAATAAATCAAATTATTAAAATTTTTAAATTATAATAAAATAAATATTCAACATTATAAATATAAATTAAAATTTTATTTAAAAAAAAATAACAGTATTTTTTTTTTAAACAATTAACTTAAAAATCTCAGTGACAAAAAAAAGTTACATTAAATGTGTAATAAAAACTATAATTATTGTAGTTTTTCAACTATTATTAAGATTTCAATCATATTAATTAAGAACACAAGATGTCAATTGAAACCTTTAAAACAATTATTAGTTTTAAAGAGTGATTAGTGCAATTTAAACAAAGTTAACCTAACAATGCCTGTTCTCTCTCGTTCCCAGATTAAAACTCTTTGGCGATCTATTTTTACGAGAAATTAATTTTATTCTCATGGTTAGTTAAACATGCGTAATAAGTTAAACATGCAGATTTTCTAGTGTTTGAAATAAATAATATATATTATCATGAATTGATTGATATATTTTGTAAAAATTTAAAAATCGCGCACTCACTTTGTTTCAACTCCACTGGCACCGCTGGCCTCGTAAGTCGAAGTGTAGATTCCGACCAGTTCAGGTTGCGACAACGACCCTTCAAAGTTCACAGAAACTTTGTAGCTGCCCGGTTGAAGGGCTTCCTGGGGCACAATAACGTAGAACTCGTTGTCAGGCACGTCCAATGTTCTTGTGATGGCGATCGCTTTTGATTGTCTGCGAATAATTAAAATCAATTCAATACACAGCAAGCAGCAAAAACTTTAAATCAATAAGAAAAAAATAAAAAAATAATTTTTTTTCAATATTTAAAATTATTATGTGGGAATTTTTCTGACCTTCCTCTTGCGTCCAAAGACACGATGGAAGGGTTGGAGATGTTGAGACCCTTTTGGTGCAGGGGCAGGTAAGTGAGGCTGCTGCCGACCACGTTCAGGGTCAGAGCCATCCTGCCCGAAAACCTGTTTGCCTCTATATTGGGGTGCATGAAGATGTCGTAATTGTGAGCTTCCAGCTGATCAGGGATGCGGAAGTTGGTCTGCCAGGGTTCTCTGCTCGAGCCATTGTTGAGTTCATTGTTGAGACGAGCGACCTCGATGGACAACACAATCACTGCCACCGCCAGGACGGCGAAGACGATGCCGCCGCCCACGATTTTGACATAGTGCATTGACACCGCCATCCTGAGCAAATTATAGGAAGATATACAAAATATATATTCTCAAATTTTATTTAATTAAAATATTTTATTGATTTAAAAGGGATATTTAAATTCCATATCTGAATATTTTAATCCGGCAGGTAGAAAATGCAACATATTTTAAATTATTTTTTACATCTCTAATGTTTCTCAATGTATAAAAAAAGCATTACACATGCATTATTGTAAAAGTTTCTAGTTACCATAAAATATATTTTTTAAACATTAACACATTAATAACTGTTGTTAATTTTAATTTACATTTTGTAAGCCAACTTATAAAGAAGGTATTTATAAGTTGATTACTTCATTATTTGGTTTAAGCCCTGCAATGTTTGCAATAAAATGTGTCCACAGCTTGAAAGCAGCAGGTCGAGATAAGGCGGAAACCGGTGCTTGTCATAGACGACAAGAGAGATAATTGAATATTCACAAAACAAGAGAGATAAGTGAGCTGCTCTTTATTAATCAGCCAAGTGCGCGCGCGTCACTTCGCCAAAACGACATCGCCGCTGACGAGACACTTGATAAAATAAATTTGTAATGTTCGTGTTGTTAAAAAAAATTATAATCCACCCACCGTTCCTATCATAAAGGATGTTTATCAATTTGAAGTTAATGGGTGTTCTTGCTTAATACAATGGGATTTTGAATAACGATGACAAAGAAAAAATTTAGCTGACAGATGACAAATGAAATTCTCTAATTGTAAGAAATGCATATTAAGCGACGTAGACGAGAAATTAATTAATTGATATTTGATATAACAACAATTTTGACATTCGATAAGTCAAAATATACTTCCAATCAGCTCAATTATGGTTGGTGACTAATTGAAAGGGCAGAATATGTAATAAGAATATTTAACATAATTGGTCTGTCATAATTATAGATGATGAAATTAAGTTTTAATCAGGGTTCTGATAAAAAAAAACGACCTAATTAAATTTTGATATGATTTTTTTAAAGTAAGAAATAGTGTTTTGCAGCAGGTTGATGTAATTTACAATTAAACAAGAAAATTGTCATAAATTGGAAGGAACACTAAATTTTCAAAACTTAAAAATTTTCTTTGTATATTATTTAATCAAATAAATTTCTTTCCACAAATCTTCAATCTGGATGAAAAATAGAGCAAATTCCTTTAAAATCAATAAAATATCACATGAATCAAAATAAAATCAACAGCAGGGAGTTGTGTCTCAAAATTCACATATTGGGAAAATGTTTTCAAGCAATCACTTGTTAAAATTAAAATTTTTTCCTTCTTAATTGAAATAGTCTTATAAATTTAAAAATACGACTAAAATCAAATTTGAATTTTGATCAGAAAATTTTAAAAGATTAAAAGGATTTTTTTACCTCTTATGATATGATGGAGCTGCCGACTGCTCACTCGACGGACTGTCGGTCTGGGAGTGAATTAAGCAGCAAGAGCGGCCGAATCAGGCCGGTGGACACCAACAACTGATATTGAGCGGCTTTGATAATGAACACGCATCTATCTATCAAGTGTGAATTTACGTTGCGATGTGTACCGGGCGCCTAGCTCAGATCCCCACCTCCCTGGACGGCCTCTCAATCAATTTATAAAACACAATAAGCTGCTACATTCTTGGAACGACGCTCGAGCAGAGATGCATTTAAATCACTCTGGTGTTTAACCTTCGCTCGATTTCACTCTCGTCGCGCGCGTTGATATTATTTATTGTTTGCCCGCGGCCGCGCGGTTTCTCGCGACACCGTCCACGCGAGAAGAACAACTTCTTGCGCGATAAGCAAATCTGAAGCAAAACGTAAGAAGGACTCAGAAAGCTCTTATTCAGATAAAATTAGCATTGAAATCAAAACAAATTTTTGTGTATTTAAGAAAGTTGGCAAATTGATATGAAATAACTATAAAAATTCAATTTTTATTTAATGCTCCCGCTCTATTTATCATTGTGACAATTGTAGATGTTTTTTAAACTGATTTTAAGACCTGCTAGTTATTTTATAATATATAATTATCTCAAATTAGGCACATGGGAGACTTAATATGAGTTTTATTAAAATTTATAATAACGATTATTGGACTTTTTTTTAAAATTTGATTGCTATTTTAAATTTTTTTTGTAATTTTTAGACTTTTTTATTGACTTGTTTATAAAATAATTATTTTGAAAAATTTTAAATCTTACTCTTTAAGACAGGATTAACAAATTAACTTCACAAATATGATAACAAACTAATTGAGCCTATAAAATCTTCGCGCAATTTTTGAAATAGAAAAAAATCAGTCTTTAAGTTACACACGTCTTAAAAAAACTCTGCAAAAATAAGGACTTAAAATGTTTTTCTTCACACAAAAGGGAAAATTTCAGTACCAATCTATGAAACGGTGGCAGCTGTCTTTTCGCAACTGCTTTCACCAAATCAGTAGCAATTTGAGGTTGCGTACGTGTCAATGGACAGCTGCTCATGGCAATAATAACCCATTACTTTTTAAATCAAGCTGACAATGAGCACTGGCGACGCCGCCGTGGATCAGCCAACGTGATATTCGAGCGTCTCGCCGACTTAGGCCAGTACTTGACGGAATCAGGCTGCGTAAAATTGGAGGCGGTGTCGATTTCATTGAGCATTTTATAGGTAAAGAAAGGGTCCGTTTATTAGAAAAAAGTCACAGACAAGACACACAGACTACATGAGAAAGTGAGAAATGTGAGGGTTTTTTCAGTCTCTCGTTGTCAAACAGTCAAACTTTGAAGTTTTGCGGTGATGGTGAGCATCTCATGGTTCTCCTTGTTGGCCAACTCCTCTTTTAATTTCTCCAACTCCTAAAATGTTGCAAAATTATAAAATGAATCAATCACAAAGAACTTGAATTTGCATTATGAAGGTAATGTGATATGCATAATTTAAAAAAAAAAGAAAAAAGTCTGGAAGTTAGTTTTGATGATTTGTCGTTTATTTTGAATTTTCATTAATTTTTTCTAATCTTTTTTTGGTACAACTAAATCAAATTTCAAATAATACATAATATCATCCTGATCATAAGGTAAATTTTGTCATAAAATAATTATGTTTTAACAAAATATTCAAACCATTTTTATATTTAAAATAATATTTTATGTTATTATATTATTTTTTATTAATATATTTCATTGATTTTTAGTGTTGTAATTATTATTAGATTACCTTAAGAGCGGCGTTGAGTTGACCTTTCGCCTGGTCCTCACCTTTGAGGCACACGACCTGCACCTGGAGCGCCACCTCGAATTTGGACCTGAGTTCGTTGGCCTCCTCCTGGACGCGCAACCTGAGGTGGTTGGCCCTTTCCAAGGACACCCTGAGGGCGAGCACCTCTTCCTGCAGGCGTTGGCAGGTCGAGTTGGCAACCGCTGCTGAGGTGGCCAATGACTTGGCCTGGGCACCGATGGCCATGTTTTCGAGGCGCAGCAAGCTGTTCTCCCCAAGCAGCTTCTTGTTCTCGGCCATCGTCAAAGCAAGGTGGCCCTCGTTCTTTGCCTCGAAATGCTGCATCTGAATTCAAAGAGGTGGTCATATCAATACAAATACATACCGAAATTTCAAACAAATTTAAAAAAATTAGGATAAAATTATTTTATTCTAAAAAGTTAGAAAATATACAAATTTCAAGAGCTTTAATTTTGTTTAATTTACAAAATTATTTGTTTTTGAATTTTCTGCAATGTCATTATTTTTATTTCATGACAAGGATTTGCCTATTTTAAATGTTAAAACAAAAATTCTACCTGTCGGAGTTTGATTTCCAGGAGACGCAGTTTGATGAAGAGCTCGTTGATGACCACTTCGTGAACTTGCTGGTTGTTGATTGGCGGCAGGTCAAATTCAAAAGGTGGAGGCTCCGAAAGGGTCTCTCGTCCCTGATTTTGACAATTCTCCCCTGGCTTTTCCATTTTTCGTCTGAATAAATGGAATTCTTAATCAAATTTTATCCCCATAGTCAAACATTTTTTTAAATTAGTTTGAAAACTCTCTCATTACATTTGTAATTAGCTGGTTCAACAAACATCAAACGAAGCTAGAATGGTGAAGAGCCGAGCTTTGAAGTAGAATAATTGCAGAAATTTTAATTACTCTCTCACCTCTGTCTCCTATGCAAGCAGATGCAGCTGATTAAGAGCGCTCCGGGTGTGCATTTAATTTTTTTGCAGCTGCTTTATATGGTGTTGCTGGGCGGACGAGGCGTCTGCCTGCACTTTCCATCAAAAGAGGGTAAATATTTATGGCATTCGGCTTCACCGAGCTAGGCGCTTTGAAGGTGAGACAAATGCGATTTCTTTCTTTACATGCTGTGTCAGGTATTGAACGAGCACCTATGCAGAGAGAAATAGAATTCGGCCGATTTTTTGTACCCCAATTTGAATTCCTGTTGCATTGTGATCTCACTTTGTCTGGAAACGAGAAGAAATTTGACACATTTTAACCGGAGCAAATCAGAAGGAAATTGTACATAAATATTTTTTTTCATCTCAGAATAGTAAATAATTAAATAATTATTTTATGCACAAACTCTTCAAGCTATTTTCATCAAGTGTTCAAAATATAAATGAAAACAAAAGTAATAATAAAATATTTACTATTCAAAATAAAAATGGAATTTTCCCTCGATTTTCTTCTTCTTATTATTCAGCAATGAAATTTTGATTAATTTGGAATATATTTTTAAGTCGTTTTTGTTTTAAAAATATATAGGTCTGTTATATTAGTTATTTAAACTAAAACTATAATTCAACTAAAATATACTGTTGAATCTGAAAAAAAAAAAACTATGCACATTTCACGAGGAAAATATAATTTTTTTTTCTTCAAAAAAGGTAGAAGATTTCTCTTAATGTTTTAACTTGAAACTGTTATTTCTTAACAAAAGTTCTCCTTTCCAAAATTTTAACGCTTCCACCCAAAAATAGTAACAAAAATAATATTGAAACGCAAGCAATGGTACCACATAAAAAAAATTTTTCGCCCTTTTTTACTTGGTTTATTTGAGAAAAATCTACAATCTATTGTTTTTATATACTTTGTGAATTTTTATGAACCAGGAACTTTTCCTCATTAAATGAAATAATTTTATCAAAAAACAAATTTTCATCATTTGTACAAGTTAAATGAGTTAAGTTAAAAAAAAAGATAATAAAAGCCGCAATATATCCTACTCATCACTTTGTCAAGTTCTTTTTTTCAAGCAGTTCTCATTAATAAATAAAAAATAAAACTTAAACCATTCCTTTTAATTTCTCCGCATCCCATGAAAGACTATATGAATTATGAAAGGTTCTCTATATTGAACTTTCCGAACTTGTTAAAATTCGGCTCGCAAAGTTTCCCCGCGTAATCCTTTCTTCGAAAGGGTTAAACCACAAAGCCGGCTCTGCTTCTTATTCGGAAACGCCGCAGCGCCGACTGCATAAGCTGCAGGCGCGTTTGAATAAATCATTTGTCCGCGCTGGCGGTGCTGCCGCGTTTTGACCCCCCGACTCTGGCACGCACGCAAACTGCATCCCTGCCGGGGCGGCTTCGCGTTCGGGGGAGGATGCGTTCGAGGGGTGCGCTTGCGCCATTCGCGACTGGAAACGCGCATGCAAAAGGATCAATTTTGCCCAGCCAGTGTGTCACAGGGAAGAGGAGCAACCCAAACAAATCGCGTAAGTCCGCCGATAATTTCCTTTCAAATCCACTTCGATAAGCACAAATCACTCCAATCGACCCCCGGTCACTCCAATTAACCCCCAGACCGAAGTTTGGTGTCGGTTTTGGCACCGGTTACGCAGATTTTGCAAACGAGAGTTGCTCCAATGTGACCTCTGTTGTTGCACTTTTGTATTGATAGAAAATCGACACCTTTCCAAATTTTTCTGGTGTCATTTTCCTCCCTAATTAGATTTTAATTGTTGCGTCGGCGCGTTTGTCTGAAGGGGTGACCTAGCTCGGGGTTAATTGTACACAAACAAAGGGTAAACGGAGCCTCTTTGCATGTGGGCCACACACTCGCTGATGGAGCGCCCTTGGTGTGTTGTTCTACTGGCCGATAAGATCGGAACAAGTGCACAGCCGCCCATCATAATATATGGTGCTCGCTTGTATACCTGTTTGAACTTTATGACTACGCCGCATGCACCCTTTATTTGGTTTGCTAATTCACTTTTCCACTTTGAATCCACAACGATAACGAGCGGTTGCAATCGCAAATTGAGTTTACGTTCACCCACGCTGAATGAAATATGCAAATAAGAGGGTGCAAAATCTTCAAATTGGCGTGAAAAATATTAAAATCAATCGTTATCCTCAATTTAAAATAGAAAATTAAAAAGTAGTTATTATAAATTCTGTAGATAGGGTTGTATTGAGAATTGTAATTTATACTTTTTTTTAATTAACATCATTAAAATTAGTTAAATATTCATTTATAATTACTTTTTTAGCAAGTTTTAAATACTGTTTATTTTATTTATTTATTTATTTTGTAAATTATTTTATTAAATAATGTATTAATATATTTTTAACAATGTGGACAATTAAAAAACACAACAATATTTATAATTTTATCAATATACAAATCTAGTCTATACTGGACTACATGAACGCAGCGTTTATCAATAAATTTAGAACGTCTTTCTTTTTTTGAGATGATAATTAGCAATCCATTTTAATGAATATTGAATACTTTATGTACTTTAATGTGGTGTAAAATAATCAATGATTACCAAAATGTCCATGGGTGGAATTAATTTCGATGAAATTAATTACATATTATGGAATTTGTCTCATCAGATAGAATAAATTAATTATAGATTATTATTGATGAACTCAGAATTTCAACAAACCCCTGTGAATTGTGCTTCGTACAATTAAAACTATGGATTCAAACAATCACATTTAAAAAACATAAATTACAAATCTATAAACACCTTTGAAGAACGGAAACACACCTATTTTTAATTTAATTAATTCACTAATTTATTTCAAATTTGAAGTAATTAACATACCCACTTGGTAAATTTTAATTGATATCAATCACAAATGCAACAAAAAATCTATGATAACATCTTTGTTTTCTACTAAACAATGTCAAAAAATATTAGATTTCTCCCTTTTCGGAGCAACTCCATTCTTATTGCATTAAATATTATAATTCTTATCGTTAATTTTCTTTCATCTTACTAAATAAGAAATTATCCCTTCAGAGTTTTTACATAGCTCATGGCACATATTCCAACAAATTTTTAACCAAAATTATTATTATAAAATACCGAATACTATTTTTTATTATTCCACGGTTTGAAGCTCGCGAAAGGCGAGAAAATCAACTTTGCGGCCCAAAAGTCAACACCTTTAACGACCGGCCTGGACAATATTTACGTAATTGACGCTTTCTTTCCCAACTTGAAGCCCTACAACGCCCATGAGCTGAACAAACAAACGCGCCAAACGACTGATGCAGTGCGCGAATTTATTCCCCCGGGGGTAGAAATCATTGAAAGGGAAATTTGTTCCCGAGTGACTTTCTTTCTTTCTTTCTCGCTTCTCTTTTTGAACAAGTCGATGAAGCTGCATGAGGCCAGTATGTGGAAATCGATGCGTTCAAGATAAAAATAAAACACATACATAGGCGGGCGCGCCTTACGTTGGACATCCCCGCGTGTGTTTTATGAAAAATAAAGAGGTTATATTCAAGAGTGGTGAGGGCGTCGTTGTGTGTCCACCTGTATACCCTTGGCCGACATTGAGCCACCGTGTTTATGTCGTGCGTGTCGGGATGATCATTCCGCAATTATTATTTCATCACTAAAGAAAAAAAGTCAGCTTGCCTGACCAGCAGACATTGAATAATTTCCATTTAATACCATGACTTTGTTTCTGAGTAAAGACTAAAAATACACGAGTTCAATGGCTTTATTGTGTGAAAAAATTTGGAAAAATTTTTCTGAAAGTAAAAATTGGAAATAATATCTTAATTATGTTGAAAGGAGTTGATTTGATTATTTTAGAATATTTTGGATTTAATTTTACTTCTCTTTGGACACGTTTTTACTTTTGCTCTTTTTAATTGCAAATATCATTAAATTTTTGAGTTTTGATCTTTCTAATTTTGAAAAAAAAGGAAAATTTACACCATTCAAGTTAAAACAAATGAAATCGACAAAAATTTTTAATCATTTTAATCAGGCAGGCTGAATATTGAGTAAATATTAGCATTTATGATTTTTTGACGCACATTTATTTATGCAGAAAATTATTCATCAGCACCAATAAATGACCCCAGAATAACCTTCACTTCACATCACGCTCTCATTTTCCTAAACAATCAGGCTATAGCTTTTTGCATGGGAAAAATAGGCTGCTGATCTACTTTCCTGTAAAAGAGCTAAACTTCAATATTAAAGCAATAATTATACTAATTTTTTAATGGTGATTTTAATGTTAAGTTGGCTTCTCCTCAATGAGCAGAATGAGCTTTTTTATGAAATGAACTCACAAAATCCATCGAGGAAAAGCCGACTTTAAATTCAAATCACCATGAGTGTAACCTCGATCATGAAATAGTGTGTGCTTTAATCATCAGATTTTATTTGAACCCAATTAGCCCAAATCACTTGACAATAATTGATTTGCTATTTAATGCATTAGTTTCTCTCTCAATTTTATTTACTTACTTTGTAAAGAGTATGAAAAATGATTACTGTGATTAGCAATAATTATACAAGAAAACTCTATGACACCCTAAGTATGTATTTCGTCAACAATGCAGATATCCGATCTAGTTTGCCTGATTACAAAATAAATAAATAATTAATTAATAAATATGGCAATAATAACTAAATGAAAATAAAAGAAAAAATATTTACAATTAATATCTTAAAATATTTAAAAAAAAATTTAATTTATAATAATTATTAAATATAATTTGTTTAACTGATATTAATTTAAATTTAATGTACTTTATAGTTTAATTTTACTTTCAATTTTTTTTTATATATTATACTTTTCAACGTTTTATAGCTTAAAATATCTTAATCATTCACAAGACATATATATAAACTATATTTAATACAATTTTCTCTGAACTCTAAGTGTCGTAATTATTATTTTCTGACAGAAAATACCATTCTAATTTTCTGATCATACAGAGGAAAAGGAAAGGCAACTATCAGTTAATCATAACCTAAATCATGATGTTTGAAGCTGTAAATTTGGCTTTTCTTTATTTGATTCTTATAAAGTATTTCAGAGACAAAAACTTTGTATTCGCGTCTTGTGAAACAATAAAATACAAGTCGTCAATTCACTCAATTTGCAACCCAAAGAGAAGCCAAATTAATATAAATTGAAGCATCTTAATCAATAATTTAAATATATTCAAGAAACGCAAATTTTCATTATTACTCTCATTTTTAAATAAATTTAATTTTCATTCAGTGCTATTATATATTTTTGATTATGTTTTTAATACACAATTCCTATTTCTATATAAATTTGCGCTAAAATTTTTATTTTATGAGGACATTGTGTGATTGTAGGTGTGAGAAGGCGGTGCTGAGCGATGGGGCGCAAGAAAGGGGCGCCGAAGATCGTGCCGGAGCAGGACAAGCGGATCTGCGCGTCCATCTGCGTGTGCCAACTGATCGCAGTGCTGAGCTGCGTGTCGATCGTGTACCTGTCGGTGGCCGTGTACATGCCGGCGCACCGCACCCTCGAGTCCGGCTACGACACCAAGCCGGCCGTGTGTCAGACCAGGGAGCTCCACTGGGCCTCCACCCTGGGCGACTGGTCCTCCTGCGGCGAGTGGTGCCTCTCCAAAAGCTCCCCGCCCTACCCCCAGATCCACGTTGTTGTCCGCAGGAATGGCACCACCATCAGGTATTTTTCTTTCAAGTACCTTTTTTGTCGGACATAAGTTAAAAATAAATAAGATGTGAAATTGAAAGGATTTTTTTTTTTTTTGACGATGGTAATGCTGATGCAATAAAATTGAAAAAAAAAATTGTTTGAAGGCTTTGAATTTTACGTTACTCAGGAAAAAAACCCACCAGACCAGTGTGCATTTTGTTGTTACCAAAGAAAAACCTGAATATTTATTATAATCAAAATAAAAAATATATTCCACAAATGGGAGAAATGTCTGTTTTTTTTTTTGTATTTTTTAAGAAATTTTTTAATTTTATTAGGTCTGATTAGGTTGTTAAAGTGATCTTTATTTTATTTAAAATTGAAGTATTAAAATTACGAAAATAACATTAAATCACCTTTTCAACAATTGTTCTCGTATTTAAATTGAATAAGCAGCAACTTTTTATAAACTATTATTATTTATGGATTATGAAAATGAAAAGTTGGTTGTTAAAAGCTTAGAAATAACTAATCCTTTCATAAATGGTTCTAAAGCATTTTTCTTTTTTAATAGAAGTTATTCTTAAGTGAAAGAAAATCTTAAAATTATTAGTTGTTTATTTGTCCAAATTGTTACATCACATTGTTTACATACAGATTGTTGAAAACATTTATTTGGAAAAAAGAAATTGTTGGACAAAACGGCACCACCACTAGCAAAAATTTTGCTAAAACTTCCGAGGGCAAAAAGACCCCGTCCGCCGCAGTGAGCCTCGATTTGAGTACGATTCAAAAAAAATTTGTTATAATATTTTGCCAAACTTTAATCGTTCAATCTTGTCTTTTATAAGGAGCTCTTCCGCATCAGGTCATTAGTGGAAAAATCCCCTTCCCTCATTTTCGATCAAGTATCGATTGAGTGCACACAAACTCCCCCAGCACTAAACATGCCACTTCTTGATTGATGGTAACGACTTTGCGGTCCCCAAGTTGCACCCCTTTTTCGAGCTGTAGCCAAACACTTAAAAATAAGGCGATTTTAGACGACTTCTGACACCCATAAATATTGTGCTTTGACACACACTTGGCAAAACTTAATTTACCGAGACAAGATTTCCAAGTCGAACAGAAGATTTTATTTGATTTATAAGTCCTTGCAACAATTTTAAATATTCAGAAGGTTTAATAACTCTAATAATCTTTGATTTAAACCATATTAATTTTTAAAAAATGCAGCATAGAGACAATTTTAGGAAATTAATTTAGCCACATTGTGAAAAAGAAATTTTAATTCTGTTCCATATTCATAAAAATAATTAAAGTTTATTATTTTTAAAGAAATCATTTTTTAACCATTTGATATTTTTGTTCAGGTTAGAAAATTGCACGCGACCAGCAAATGTGGCGTGTCCACCTGCAGACGAAGAGTCCCTCCGCAAGTACAACTGCAACCAGGACGGCGAGTGCGAAACCATCACGGGCGTCTTCAGCTGCAGAAGGGGTCATTGCGCCAACTTGTCCGAGATCTACAGCTGCCTCACCGTAGCCGACGGCAACTTCATTGACGCCGATAGGGTCAGTTTTTCATAAAAGAAAATTTAAAAAAAAACCTTGAATTAAATTTTGTTTAGGATAATTTGAAATTGAACGGCTTTTTCGAGTGCCAGAAGAGCAGATGCCGGCAAATCAAGAAAACGCCTTTTCCCTGTGACAGATACTGCCCGCGCATCACGACCTTCGGCATCAACGTGTTGCTCTTCCACGGTGACATTGTACTTACAGCCGAGTGCAGCAAGGGATACACTGTCATTGAGTGAGTTTGAAATTCTGACTTAATTTTGTTTGCGCTTGGTTATTTGACTTGTAAAAAATCTATATTAAAATAGATATGCCTCGCCTCTTTTGTAGTCTCAAATTTTTGTTGAATAGAAACAGATTTTATTTTATATTATACACAATTCATTATAAGTAAAATATTTAAATTCTGCCGTAAAATACCTGGTCACAAGGAGAATTATTGAACTCAATATTCCCTTCACCTTTCAAACTCTTGCTTTTCTTTAAATATATAATTATTAATAATTGCGATATTAAAATTCAAATTTCCCCTTATTTTTTTTCCAAAAAGGACTTATTTATTTATATTTATTTCTAACAGAGATCTTGAAAACACCGACCCTGCAACCCAAAAGCCCACGGAGGAGCACCTAATGTGGACACCAGAGAAGGGAGTCCTGCTGGCCGCGTGCTTGAAAGCGGAAAAGTCCGCGGCCCACGTCAACAACGTGCACAACATCACCGCCCTAGATTGCATCAACGGTACAATCAATCAACTCATCAAATCAATTTTCATTAAAAATTTCACGCAGGGACGGTCGTTCCGGAGGAAAAACTGCCGGCCCATTACATGAACTTCACCTACTTGTGGTCACTTTTCGAGGAGTCGCAGTTGAACAAGGTTGATCCTGAATTGCCTCCTCCGCAAAATGACCTCGTCATTTACAACACCAGCAGGCTGCTAATTAATTTAGATGTGAGTTGTAGAATAAGTATATTTAAATTTATTAACTAAATATATACATACTTCTTATTACAAATCATATTTAATATTTAATTATTATTATATATATATAATTCTTATTTTTTCTCAACTTATAATCATCTTATTTTAATTTGCAAGTTTTGTTATTCATAGTTACGTATATACATAATCTTTTATGTTTTTATATTTTTGTACATAAAAGAATTTAAAAAGTAATAAAATATATTTCGGTCAAATATATCCATTGTATTCAAAATAACATGTGAGACATCAAAATAAAAACACACTTTGGGATGGGTTTGGGGTTGTTAATGAAATGTATGATGATTTGTATAATAATAATATTCACATTGTAATGCACAGTATCAACTCTTAAGAAATACCTTTTATTGTAGCACATTTGCAAAATCTAAAGATACAAAATTTGTTCAGGAGTCTATTTTTGTTGAGTTCCTAAATTTATTTGAGAACCGATTTTCTACGCCTCGGGGAAGCACTTTTTTTGCATACAAAATTCTCAATATAAGAAAATTGAGAATTTCGACAGTAAAAAATACATAAATAAGGGCCCCTGAAATTGTCTATAAACTGTGCATCAATGCCAAACTAGTCCATTTCTGGCTAAGGTGGAAGAAGTAAAAGATTTTCCATTATTACTCTTATTTGAATGGTTTAAAATTATCCAAAATCCATTGCAAGAGAAAATTTTTGTGTTATAAAAAGATAATCATTTTATTTCAGTGGCTAAATATGTAATTTTTTTAAATCTAGTATAATTGAGTATTTGTTGAAGAAACAAAAAATATCATCAAATTCTTAACATTAACAAAAGATTTCAAAAATTTAAAACAGGCTTATTGCAAAAATGAGACAGTTCAGTTAATTTAATTTTAAATCCACCTTGAGAGCTAATTTTTTTTATTAAAAGATTCACTTTAATTTATAATATTTTAATTTTTTTAATAACTTTTGTCCCTGCAGGGTTGTGTGAACACGCTGCGAGACGAGTGCCGAGACTTTGTGAAGAACAATGGCAAGGATGGTACGAACCACACGGGCCAGTCGCGATTTCCGTGCTTTTACCACAAGGGCGACCCGTTGTACTCGTTGGCACGCTTTGACATTGAGAGGACCAGGATCGAGCTGATCCTCTTCTCCACCATCCCGGTCGTGCTGGCCATCGTGTCCTGCACGTCGCTCATCATCTGCACCAAAATCGTCAAGGTTGGCGACGACGCCAAGATGAGGATCAAGTGCAGAGGCTGCTGCGGCGGCAACGAGCCGCCGACCAACAACAAGGACGTCGAGAGCAGTCAACTGCAGCAGGAGGACAAACACGAGGACAGTGCTGACCCCACTGACGACGAGTAAGCTTTGCGGAAATTTCGGAGGAAATTAGTTCAAATTCGGATTTTACCAATCGGACACTTTTAAACTTTCGCTCTTTTGGCACAATTATATAAAATATTTCAAAATTTTGACTATCCTTCAATTAAAAATTTTAATCAGCAGTCTGAAAATTGGGAAATTCATGATTTTCCATTGGTTGAAAAACGGAAACGCTTATATGCAGAAAATTTATTCATCATAAATGACCCAGAATAACCTTTACTCCAGTCACGCTCTCATAAAATATCAATTGATATATATTTTACGACTCTTCAATGTCGAACAGGTGTGCAGCAACCCTCTTTAAAAAAAATGAAATGCAAGTCACATTATTATCTAAATCACTCGGTGTCCAGAGTAAGGAATAATTTTTAGCTTGAATAATGCAAAACCCGGGCAGACAAAAGCTGCGGAGGAGCAATTTTCACCAGCCAAGCAGATTAATTAATTATAATTCACGTTGCGTAAAATGCACTTTGCAGTGTTCTGGACCAATATTTTACCACAACAGATACGTCACTAAATGTTGTTCAAACACAGAAAATTTTCAACTGTTTACCATTAAAAATAAAAGGGCCTCACCAGTGAAAGTTCACATTTTCCCGCCAAAAGAAAATCGACATAGGTGAAAATCGCTAAATTGGAATAAATTAGCAAATTAAGAATTAGAGACATTGTGATCGACACTTTCTTCTACATTTAATTTCGTTTTGGCGGGAAAATTTGAGCCTTCAGTGAACCCATTTTCAACTAGTAAGAGTGCAAAATTTTCAAACAGAATTTCGATTTCAGTCGAGAAATATTGTTCATTTTTTAATTCAGGAATAAAAAAATACTTTACTACTTGAGAGGACCTTTACACAGGGTGTCTGCCGCATTTTTCACACTACAGCACCTTATTATTCACAAATAATTTTATTCACAAACACCTGATTGACTCTTGAAAAATTAACAAAAAGTGTGACTTATCAAAAATCCTGTTTTTTCCCCTTCAGAAATGTTAATTTCGACGTCTTGTCCAGATAAAAAAGTGAATCAAAGATAATCTCAAACATGGATAATCTTAAACCTATTAGACAAATTGGTAGTACAAGAATTTAGCAACTGTAGTAGAAGATCTTACGCAAAATTATATAGATATTAACTATCGCTCTCTATCAATTAAAAAAATTAATCCTCACGCCATCCAATTGAAACTAAAATTAAAACTATTTGCACTTTTCATACATAACTATCACTGAACTGATCACCTGTAGAGTCTTACAATTAAATCCTTGGTCGTGTCGTTCTCACCAAATTTCATTTTTCATCAAAGAGCTCTGAGCCGCGATAGGAGAAGTGTTTGCCAAACGTAGTTTTATTAAAAGGTCATCATTTGCAAAAGCCTCGCGCGTTTTTCTCACCAATGCCGCGACAAACGTGTGTTTCGTCTTTCCACGGATATGTCCTCTGCAAGAATTATGTAAAACGCATTGAAAAATTAATACCAAATGAGCTGTGTATGTGTTCTCTATTATTATCTATTGATGTGTATTACAACAGTTACAAAACATAACAAAAATTGTAAATACATAAAAAATATATGTGAAAAATATCGTTTGAAAGGGGACACGGCCCAATAGTAATCAAACAAATTTTAGATCAATAAAATTTAATTTTAATTATTGCCAAATGAATTTTAGTCACGCTTTTGGAAAATGTTAGCATTCAAACGATATGAAAACCTATGAATTAAGTAACAAAAAATCTAAGTGTTTGTACAAAGTTGACTGTTAACACTGTACCATAATTGATGTTCTTGTGTGCCTTCTGTACTATTATGTATTTGAAAATAAACCATACTTTTATGACTATACCCCGAAGTTTATTTCGAATTGTGCTGTTATCCTGCTGTGATCAAGGTTACTTAAGTTTTAAGATGAAAATATATGTATTTTAACATATTATATTGTTTTTTCCATTTATTATTTTCAGTAAAGCTTATTTTTTTATCAATGTTATAAACTGTAATTTAAAATTTTAATTTTTAGTACTGGTTACTAGGAGTTTTAACATTTTTTAAAAAATATATATAATAGCATTAAATTAAATTTTATTAAATAAATATATTTTTTCATTTTTGTTACTAGTAAGGTCATATATTCTAAAGTTATTCATATTTAGATTTCAAAGTCTAACAATTGTATAAGAAATCGTTACAAATAGCATATAAATCATATCAATCTAGTGAGAATAGTAAATGAGAATCAAAATATTGACTTAAGAGCCACTGAGAATTCGATCATTGATTTGTCATATACTGGTGAAAAATAAGCGTGATTTAATTTTTGAGAATACAAAAGCTAATATTTCAAATGCGTCAATATTAGTATTAGAAAAAAAGTTCAAAAATGTTATAATACGGATCGGATAATCCATATTATTATTTTTAACTAATAATTAATTTTCAGTGTAATATGGTAAGCATCAAAGGTATCCAAAATCCGAACATAAAAATATTTAGAAAAAAATTTTAATTAATTTATGACTAACATTTTAACCTGATTACCACCGAAAATAGCTGGTTATATTTTATGAAATAACTTTCTAAAATCCAAATCATCGGAAAATTGCAGATAATGGTATTTTAAAGAAATGAAAAGAAAAAGTACTAATTAATTCCATTTCCAAGAGTTTTTGATAAAATTTTTCACACGCTGGATGGAGACATCCTGCTAAACGTGATATACCACGTGCATTTAGCGGACAAAGCGTATCATCCTTGTCATCTCTGTTCCCGCATATCATCTGAATCTGCTTATTTCGCATCAGCAGGCAAAGTTCTCCATCCGTCATCACAACGCGGCAGTCACGCCACTTGCGCAAAATGAGAAACACTACAAACGTGCAATGAAAAAGAAAACCAATGTTTACCATTCCAATAAAAATGAATTAAATATTCATTAATAAAAAAAAAAATTGTTAAATATATGAACTGAGCGCCAAAGAAAATATCTCAAAGAAAAGCACACAAGAGTCAACATGTTATTTTTGTGAAGAAATTGGCACTCGCGGAGTTGATCGTGGAAGCAAAGGGAAACTAGTTGGCTTGTTTAATTATTCTTTTTTTTTATGAATTGGAGTTAATTAGATTATTAAGTGGACCAATTATCTAAAAAAATCGTCGTTGGGCATTCGAATAACAGATGGCACGAGATTATCGGGCGAAAACTCGGCGGGTGTGTGTTACAGCATCGGTCGCGGAGTATATTTTCGCCGAAGGGGCCGCGGTCACGTTGCATGCACACGTGACCCACGTGTGCAGCGTACTCGATCGCGACATTGGGAGCGCGCGCGGCCGCACTAAACGTATGCAAGCGAGCTGCGATTTTGGCAACACTAGTTTCGCAGCCGAGTTCGAGGCCCGTTGCACTCGGCCAATAATGCACCTTTGCGAATTCGCGCCTCTTCTTTTTGGTGACCCCAAGAGTGGAGGATAAGAGACACAAACCTTAAGACAAGACGCGAAGAGAGAGAGAGAGAGTGAGCGCAAGATTAAAACAAAAACACAACAGCCTTAAACAGGTGAGTGAGTCATTTTCAAAATTTGCATTTTGACACTCGTCCTTGACGGGCACAAGTTTTTCACTTTTTTAATTTGAATTAAGTGCTGCTCATGGAGAACACGCTTGTTTATTTACAAATAAACAAGACAAGTGCCCTCTTTGGGTCAAAGGTGGGTCAAGTTTGCTTACGCGGCCAGAGAGAGCGGTTTAGTTTATGCATTCGTTGCTCAGAATATGGGGGCTGGCGCCGAATCGTGCCTCCGCCATCGGAATTGCAAATTTTTGGAAGAGAAGAATCGTATTATGACCCCTCACTCGTCGTGTAAATGACGTAGAGAGTCAAATTTTTAAGCCGATGAATGTCAAAATTATGCTTCAGTGAATTATATTGGAGGACTGGCAAGTGTGTCTGTTTGTTTTGAATTGATAATAATATTTTTATATTAAGTTGTTTAGTTGACTTGAATTATGAATGGCGGATCTTGTTCAAACAAATGAAGCCGCGGTTAGGGAATTTAAATTACTAAATTAGATTACTAGTGGAAAGCTAGTGTAAAAATTTTAAAATGTTTATTTTTTTTTAAATTAGAATTTGATACATATGTGCATGTAATCACATTATAATAAACTATAAATTTAGAAACTAAAAAAAATATTCTAAAATAATAGCTCCCTTTCAGTTGTTGTACATAGATAAAGGATGAAATTGTTGAAATTTATATAAAAATATATATTTATGAATTATATAATCAAATCATATAATAAAAAACAGCTGCATAACAGCATCTCTATTCATAATCGCAGTGTTTGCTATTAAAATTTACTAAAAGTAGTGCAAAGTGCAAATAAATCACCCACATAATTTATTATTAGAAATTCTAGTTGCAATGCCATCTCATTTTTATTTCTATCATATTCAATCAGCAAATATATTATCTATTTTATGAACGATGAAAAAAGCATAATTATACTTGTTTGTAAAAAAGTGCATTAAAAATGCAATATTTCCATTAAACTGTCTACCAGTGATAAGAGATTCTATGGCCACAATGATCAGAAAATGTGAAAGAAACAATATACAAATCTTAATAATTGTATCATTTTACATTTTTTGAAGACTTTAATTATTTAACACCAAGTCAAATGTAAGACGTATATTTTTCATCCATTAATATTCGTTTAATTTTTGGTGAATTTCCACATCGTATATTACTTTTATTATTCACAAGCACGTGCAACAAATGTGGTTTTATTATAATTTTTTTTTATTTAGTCTACATTCTTAAAAATAGTAATTTTTATTTTTATCTAGAAGTGATAATTAAAGTTGGTTAATTGAATGACGCTGAAAACTCTTAACGACGTTCTTTATTCTTAGACTTTTAAATTTTCGTCGGTCATGCTGATCCACTTTAATATCCAAATTTCTTGCCCACCCTACCATGTAAAAAACACGGAAGTTTCCCTCTCGGTGTCATTATGGACTTGGGTGGAAACCGCACGCAGAAAGTGGAAGCCTTTCAAGGACGCGCGGCACCGCGTGCTCCGACAGCCGCCAGTGTTGAGGCTTTATGCAAATCTCCTTTGTCACTCTTTGGAAAAGCCGTTTTTCAATCTAGATGGCGGCGATGGTGGAAAAGGAAGCGGGCAAAAGAAAGGGAGAGACGAAGAAAGTCGTTTCGCCACTGGAAAAAAATATAAAAAAAAGGTGCCGACGCAGCGAAATTACAGCCAGGCCTTCCAGTTTTGCTTAGCGAGCGTTGTGCAGAATCCGCCCTGCTGCTCGAAGCTCTGTTGCGAAACAAATTTATTACTAATCCAATTATATATTCAGTAAAAGATGAAATTAGGAATAACACGAAATAAAATCAGAATAATAAACGTAAAAAATTGATAACAAATAAAATATCAATAAAAGTCTTTTTAATTACTCACAAATAAATCTGAAAACGAATTTATGCAAATTTAATCAGATCAATCTGATTTAAAACATGTATTACTATGACGACTTTTTTAATTTTTTTTTTAACTTACGATAAATTTCTTACAACTTTTGTAGACCTTTTGCATATTTTGTTCAAAATTTAAATTATTTAATTTTGTTTCTGACTGACAAATTTTCGTAAAAATGTCAACTAAAAAAATTTTAAACGCTAGAGTTAAAGTTCTCTGACTTCCTTAGACATAAAATTGATTTTAGAAAATTTAAAATTAATTTTTGCAAAAATTAATCACCAGAAAAACGGCACTTTTTGCTTATTCATATTCAAAGCCTCTTTACTTGGGAATTTTCTACCAAAATTGAACCTAAAATATTAGGGGGGAGTGTCTTTTTTTTTTAAATCTGAAAACACAATTTTTTTAAGCTATAACTATTGTTAATTATTTCCGTCTCTTTTTTACCGATGTTCTGTTTTTAGTTCAGGACGTTAAATTTAATCGGATTTTCCCGCTTTGCCAGTTTTATTTTTAAATACATTCTGCATTCATGTTTAGGTTTAACGTCCACGTGAGAAAATTATTCACGGCTTTCAAGTTCCAAAATAGCCCCCTCGTGTTTCGCATTGCCTATTGTGTTGCATACTTCCGACCACTACTTTGTTGTGCGTGCGGGTATTATTTGGGCACACGATTTTCAGTCATGCCACGATGAACTTTAATCAAACCACCTGTTCCGTGTCCAAGGAATTTGTAAGCTCGAATCACCACACGTTTGCAGACAATGCCCGATAATTTTGCACTGCGCAAAAGTGACAACACACTTCACTTAGAGAAACTTTGCTGCGTTTCCAACCAAATTGCTTGACTGTTCTGTTTTTTAAGATAACAAGCTCAACGTGACAACTCCCCACCTTAAACTCAAATAAAACAGCTTTTTCTTATTTATTAATAAATAAGACAGTAAAAAATAATTATTTTAACTTGTTACATTAAATTATTCAACTTTGCGGTGATTTTTTGGTTGATTTAAATAAATCGCGCTTTTGATTGCATTTGCGCAAAATTTTATTGTGATTTTGTGGTCGAGTGCGCGGACGTGACGATTCCGCGTTGTGACGTGGAAGCCCGAATAGTGCAGTGCAGCCTCTCGCTCTTGCTGATTAGATTCGCCAACAACACAGTAGTTGCATCACCCTCGCCTACTTTTTGTCTGCCATTATCGGATTATTTTCATGTAACCTAGGCTAAAAACCTTTAATTAAATGACGATGATGAATAGAAGCATATTTAAAATATCGAAATAAGTACAACAAAGACTCACTGACTGGCGGATGACGGTCTTTTTATCCAGGAAATTTTAACAAAATCTTTACTATTGATGGTGAATTTGTGTCCAACAATTCAATACAACATTATCTCTTCCATAATTGTTTGTCTTTCACTGAAAATTTTTGTTTATATTAGGACTAATAAACAAAACAAAAAAAATAATAATTTTGATAAGGAGTTAAAATTTAAAATTGAATTTATATTAAATTCATTAGCTGAAAAAGTGAAATCAAATCTTCACAACAATGATGGTTAGAATATTCCAATAATTGCAAAAACTGCCTCTTATATTGTTGTGTAAACACTACAATTGCCATTAAAGAGTCAAATCTTAAATAAAAAAAAATAAAAAATAATAATCGTATTTCAGCAAGAATGTTGAAAATGTATAGTTTTGATTTAAGTCATCTATTTTAAAACAAAAATAATTTCATAGTCGAAAATTTCCGTTTGTTATTTCTATGTGTGATCCCCATTAATTATTGAAATTTCCAAAAGCTGGTGATTACATGATGACCCGCGGGATGGGGGAACGTTTTCTGATGATTGCTCCAAAAATAGCTCAGCAGTCTGTCGCTCGCGCGCTGTGGCGTGTTGGCCAACGACGGACACCAGGGATTTAAATATACAAAAACCGTGTATAAATTTATGAGGGTGTGATATACGCATTGTGACAAAGGTGTGGGAATGAAAGTGGAGGACAATGTAATTAAGCTCGTACAAATATGGGCAGAGCCGCGATTTTGTGACTTTTGTACTGAAACCAGAATTATTTGCATAGCAGGAAAATTTATTCCTTGTATTTATAAATAAACTATAGGCATTAAATAAAAAAAAATATTTTCGTTAAAAACAAGGAAAAGTTGAGTGATTTGTAAACAGTTAAAAAGAAAATATAGACATCATAAAAAAAAATATTTATTATGATCAATAATTAAGCAATATTAATATTCTGCTTACTCAAATGCAAACAAGTGATTTGTGCTGTTGTTATATCCGCAATATCACGTTGTAAGCGCAGAAAAATTTATCATTAGCTCGGGCGCTTTGAAAGCAAATGGAGCGTGAGTTTTTTTTTCATTCTGTATATTTACAAAGGGACTCGCACAGCTTTGGTTCGGACTGTAAAAATACACCTGGATTTATCGATTGGAATCGTCTCAATTTTTTTTTGTATATCAGCAGCCTGAATAGGGGTTTTGTGTGGTGGGTGCGAGCACAAAGGGTGCAGGCTGATTATTATGCGTGTGTGTGCTCGCCCGCCCGCCCTTTCACGAGACTTGACAGCCAGCACTGCTTCATATTTTCCAAGCCCGGGGCACAAAGTCGGAGATGAGTAGCGTTGCAGCTCGCGTGGGAGGAGACGAGGCTTGGAAATAAGCAAAATGTTTGCTCACTGGAGCGGCTTTTCGTCCGAGATTCGGGATGGGGGTTTAGCAAATAATATGTAATTGCAGTTCATCTGGAAGGAAATTAATCAAGAACATAGACATTTTGGTTTACTCGTCACAAAATATGGATATAAAAGATGGATTAAGTTTAAACTTAGTGTTTTTGTTTGAAGAAGTTGACACTCGAGGAGATGATCAAGGAAATAAATAAAATTTGTTTTTTTGAATAAAAAACAATTTCTGCAACAAGCAAAACGCCCGATTCATTCAATTCCATTAAACTTAGTGTTTTTAATTAGTTTTAATGAGAAAGATTTTAATTTAAATTGGTACTGTCCGTTCTGTCTCTAGTTCAGTT